TTAAACCAGCGTCTGTGAACTATGCTCGGTCTTTGACTCCAATATTAGCCGTGCATCACAGCATACTCACTGTCCAGTTAACCATTCATCAGAGTAATGTACCTCTAAACCATTAAACCCCAAGGTTTGAAGTTCCCTTTTCTCCTACAATAAAGAATAAGTGGTTACTATTCAGACAGTCATATGTTATAATTGTTACAGATTCCTTCCATAAGCAGTTAGTAGAGATTGATTTGATGCTTGCCTGTGTGGGAGAACTGAACACTACAATTCGTGGTGGTGTTCATTGGTCAATACTTTACGGAGTTGGTGAGTTGAACAGAAAACAGTCCATCTTTTTTATTGCTCATTATGTCCAGTTGCAGATAGTTAAATTACTTTCTCTTACGCTCAGCAGAATATAGGAATAATCAAAATCTTGGTAATACTCAAGTATATCCAAAGTACCAATAATAGAAGCGTAACCATCATCATATTGCATGCTTCAAGGATATGTCAGAATCATACAGAGTTGCAGCATGCATGCATATAGGAGCCCAGGTGATTGAAGACAGCTCAGAACGTCCAGCATAGCAAAGCTAACAACATTGGGGTGATTTAGAAGCCATTCGGTAATGTAGGTTAAGTCCTTATTTTGCCATGAAGCATGAAATTTGGTGTTGCATCCTCTAAAATATGTGATAACAGGTAAGAGGCTGCAGGATATGAAGAAAAGTGAAAACATTTGGATAATCAGTTCATACAAATGTCTTTGTTACTGTCTTTTTTACATTTTATAAGAAAGCACAGAATGTCTGTTCCCTTTTCTCATTTATATTGGAATTTTTAATCAAGTATGACCCAAAATGATATATTTTGTTCTTGTGTTTATATCAAGTCCGTTCAGTACAGTCCTTGACAAGCTAATAGTCACTAATCTCTTCAAAAAATTCCACACTTTTTATGGAACCTGATGGCTCATTACGTTGTTGCAAGAGCCTGTAGTTGATCCCTGTTCTGAATCCCGTGAGTCCACTCCATATCCTCATGCCTTACTTTTCTGAGTTTCATTTTAATGGTATACTTACACCTACATCTTGGTCTCTCAGTGGTCTCTTCCCTTCAGATAACCAACTTATATTCTGTATGTGTTTCTCATAGCTCCCATCCATGCTACATGCCTTGCCACTCTCATCCTACCTGATTTGGTCATCCTAATAATACTTAGAGGAGATAAGACTGTCACTCTGAACTTCCTGTCTTGTAATGTTCATCATTACATATGTATTTTAAGAAGGGAGATTAATCATGTGATATAAAATTCCAGTCAGTGAAGAACTGATTTTGATTTTGCTATAATTTATATAACAATTAAATTGACACTTCGTCTACTTAAAGCAGGTTTTTGTACCCATTCTCTCAGTTGTGAGATATTATACCATCAGCTTGTAAATTCCTATGTTTTAAATATTAATGTTTAATTTTCTTTTAGATTTTGGATGTGTACGATTGTCAGCTGGGATTGTTACGAATTGGACCATTTAATTATGATCCTCTGTGAGGTGTTGACCTCTGGTTAGAGCAGACAGATGATTTCATTTTCCAGCATTTGTCCACAGCACCAGAAGTAGAGCCACCTCATTTTGTCATGCAGTAGAATGTGTATGTTTAGCTTAATTTAAAATATAGTGTATTTGAATTACGGCGGTATAAAGCAGTGATTATGGAGCCATCCACTTAGTTGTGAAGAGAATTTCTTTCCCAATACAAGACTGCATTCAGAAAATAAACAGATTATCAGAAGGACAAGTGAATCACATTGTATATCAGTTGTATTTATAATTTTTACTGTTTGCACATTCAAATTGTCATATGCCATACAGTTCAAAAGTGGTATTAAATTTCTCTTAATTTCTTTATACAACATTTTAACTGTTAATAGCATAGTTTTAAACTGTCTGAAGTAGAAGACGTACGTCTTTGTACTCACCATCATGAGAACCTCAGACCTTACATTTGAATTTTATGTAGCAGAAATGACAGGAGCATTATCAAGTGATAATAAATCAAAGTACTGAAAGATTAAGCATTAGATATCTATAGACTAAGTAATAAAATAAGGATTACTAACTGGAATTAACCTTTATTCTATTGTAATAAGGGATTTGCTGCCAGCCAGACTTGAACTCCAAAGGTTAATATTTGAGTGATAGGCTATTGTAATATGAGGTTAGTTGGATCAAGTATGTAAGACATAACACACGGACCGTAAAGATTAATAGCTTGTATTATGCTGACAGGTGCGGGCAACATTGAAGTACATCCAAGACCATCCATTCCCAGATGTGACAGTGTTCCAAGATAAGCGGTCACTCTACTACCGGAGGGATGAAAACAGTGGAACGTGGGTTCCGATACAATATTGAAACACTAGTGTAGGAATCTGGACACTCTTGGCTAAGGTTATTACTTTTGGGAAAGTAGAATGTCCATTACCCAGAAATAATTTTCATAGTAAATAAACTTATGAGCACACAGATATTGATTGACGTAATACTGTTTCTTGATATGGTATTTAAACTGTTAATGCAATTAAAATGTGTTTAACGTGATCATATATTTGCAGTCATGTGAAATATAAAACATGTTGAGTCACAATGTATTTCACATTTATATTTGCAAATTGAATTAAATACCATTTTTACAGAATATGACATTGTACATGATTAAGAATGAAGCCAAAATTATATGCGTAGTGTAGGATATAGGGATATAATGCATAATGAAAGTATAAGTTTATTAATTTTTGTACTTAGCATCCTGATGCTAAGAATGTATTATCAGTGCAGAATATTCTACTCCAAAGCCTTGTAGCCAGATACATTTTTCGTCAGTTCATTTCGTATCATATTGTATCATGTTTTATTAAAACAGTGGAACTTTATGCAACTTCACATCAGTAACAGTGACCATGATATATGCATCGTCAGTCAAAATGCAAGTGTTCATGAGTTTATGGTGCAAGTTAACACTGTTGTTGTTTCTCAACATGACGTTGGCAGGAGGGAGTGTGATTATGAACTATGACATTCCATCTTGCCTCATTGTCTGTGACTTACACAGATGCCACTGACCATGGAGTGAAATGTTCACTGTTGCGCAGTCAAACACATACAGGAAAGTATCATTTTAAAATAGTTAACACTGGACAAGTGTTTTGAAAAGGATTATACATAATAGAATAAGATATGCAAGTTTGTTTTACTCTGTTTTCATATCTAAAATGTCTTATGTCCTGAGACTGTATGTGATTGCTTATTTCTGCTTAAGTTAGGTGAAATATGGATGGCATT